CCAAGAAAAGATTACCCTCGACCGGGATCTGGAGAATCAAAGGGGAGCAAGAGATGAGGATCTTAATCTCTTCCATAAAGAGGACTTCAGTGATGCAGAATACCAACCACGACGCTTTGGAATCCAGTATAAAAGGAGGCTGAGAGAAAAGCTAACATATGGAGAACGAAAGAATCTAAAGATTAAACAAGAGATCCAGTGTCAGTTCCTACAAGCTTACTATAGATAGAAGATTCAGACTCTAGCTTCAAAAGTGAAGAGATCACATCACCGAGCGACCACCACGTCTTATAGGTAGAGCTCAACCTCAGGGTATTACAGTCAGATTACACCTGGAAGAACATCCAAGTTGGCCCCATCAGAGAAAAAGCTGAGTCAGAGGGAAAATAGGTGGAATTAATCCGCATCCCTCAATCTATCACAGTCATGAAGTATTGCAACTGCCACTGATTTGAGCATATTGAATCAGACCGCACAACCAGGGGGGTGATCTGTTTCACTATGCAATGCCTTATTGAAAAATAGACATTGAAGCCTACGAGGACAATAGACATTGCAGCCTACGAGGACACAAAGGAGGACTACTTCCAATTAAGGAGGAAAAGAAGCACATACTTCCAATTGAGCCCATAGGAGAGACTCCAAACAACTTTATGGTGAGTATCCAAGGCAGCCTTGAGTTCAAGAAACTAACGCCCGAGTCAACCTCAAATAAAAGAAATCTAGATCACTCAAATCTATAAACTCATTGCTAAGTTGCCCCTATTGAGAGAGATCCAACACTTCGTAAATGGGCCCCTTTTGTATCATGTCAGAAAAAATTACATTGAATCATTCAGATGTTAAATTCATTTCAGCATTGTACCCATCATTAGATGTCCAGACATTAGGAATGAAACTGAGCCTTAATATTTGTCTTAGGAGCAAGATAGGGAAGGAAATTCTTCAATGGGATCCAAGTCCTACTAGTGAAGAGGAAGAAGAATAGGTTTCTTCTGAGTGGTTGCTAGTGAGAGTGGTGTGGGAGACTACAAATTTCATTCTGCAGTTGATTTCTCCTCACAAATTCATTTATCAGCTACATTTCACTGAGTACAAGAAGTGAAGAAGCAAGTTTCAAACTTAGGGCTCGATAGTTACAATGTGGAAATCTATATCTATATGCAGCTCCAGCTCGGGATGGACCAAAAAAATAATGAATATTTATTTTATCAAGGCATATTGTGGAATGACAACCCCTACAAGATCGACCTGTCAGAAGACTACAATGTTTCAACTACGAACCTTCCAACCAATAAACAAGCCTTCTGGCCTCTCTTCTTGTTGTTGTCTGTACTTCCAATAGCCTCACTGGCCTTCCGGTTCTATTCCTGTTGTCGTCAGGCCTCGCCCAAGGCCTGTCCTTGCTGTCACCAACCCTTCTGATCCAGTTCTTGATGTTGTCAACCCCTCTACGGCCTGTTGCTTCTGCTATCCAGCCCTAGACATCGGTCTCTACTACTGTTCAGCCTCCCCATTGAAGCTTCCTGCAGCTATCCGGCCCCAGCCACCACTCCTCCCATCTACGCTGCAGCCACTTGCTGCCAGTCTCCTCCCAACAAGCCGCGAGCACTTCTACACCATTCAGTGTCGTTGCCACCAGCTGCCATCTACCCTTTAGCACCGCTATCACTTCCTTCCCCTCTGACCTGGCGCCCTACACTTTATGTGCTTTGTGATGTTTTCTTGCATGTTTTATAGCATTGTCGTTGTTACTTTTTGTTTACATGTTTGCGTTGTTTTATGTTGAGAATTCATCGTTGTCATTTTTCAATTCAGCAATGAAATTTATTGTTCAGTCGTGGTTTGGATTAACTCTGGTATCAGGAAGTATCTGTAATAGTTCATGTGTTTGATTTTGAAGAAATCAATAATATTATTGGAAGATAAAAGGAGTACCCACATCAATATCAAGTCTAAAATCCATCTTCTTAGGGTTGGATGCCTAATACATAAAACATCCATTAATAAAAATTAATTTTCAGATTTCATTATGCTTAATTGATCACCAAATTAAAATTGAAGATTGCAAGCTACTACTTTAAATTTTATATAACATTAAAACTATTAATCTTACAAATTAATGAAAAATACATAACTAATCTATAAATTTCCTTTAGACTACTTAAATTATAATTTAATCCCATTATTTAATATTACTAGCTATTAAATCAATATATTTAATATTTTTAATTAATTAATTTAAAAAAAAAATTCTAATGATTGAAAGATTTCTAAAATATAATCTTTGTATGAGTTCAACAAAGTTTATTCATATAATTTTTTATTTACTTTACCTTAATTAATTTGATATTTTCATATTTTCAACTTTTTTAAAAATATCTTAATGAATTTTTTTGTAGTAATTTCAAATTAATAAAATTTTAAATTTCATTGAGACTTTCCTACATCTATACGTATGTGTGTGAGTGTGTTTGTGTGAAATAATTTATATTCTTAATATTTTTAAAATTTTGTATTTTAGCAACTTTTCGGTCTTTAGGACTCGGTCCTTAGACTGACCCTAGTTGTTATTGGGCAATGTGTAATTTTCCGTAGAGTGTCTTATACCCAACACATCTAGGAAAATTCACAAACCTTAAAAGACAACAAAAAACTCTCAAATAACCAGTTAAACAAACACTTGCAACCTTTCAAACAAAAACTTTCACAAAACTAAAAAAATTTAATTAAAAGATGATCCTAGCGGTCATTGGGCAAAGTGTAATTTCCCGCAGGATGTCCCATACACACATACATATATAAATAATTTCTCATTTAGAATCTTTAGAAAATATTTCATCTAACTCAAGTTAAATCTAACATCATAAATTAGATCTAAAATATTAATACATAACCACATAATTAGAATATTAAATCTCACCTTTAAACTTAAGGAAGTGAATATTTGAGCTTTGATGATGAACTCCCTTCTTCACCTGGCAAAAACCTCCTTACACGCACTCGGTCATGCGACTCTCAATCTTTTTTGCCATGTTGATCTCGTCACCCTCAAACACAACTCTCCAATTGCACTCGCTTGCACTAAAAGCTCAAACTTGTCTTGATACTCCAAAACACGCACAAAGCTCACAGACGCCACTCCTGCATCGTTCAGCTTCGTCACCTTTTCACATGGTGATCGTTTGCATTGAGGCACCCGGCTATGCACGAAAGCACGTTGTATGAGTCATCATTATAATAATTGAAATTTAAAAAATAATAATAATAAATATATTGGAAATAAGATGTATTGATTCGAATTAACTATCGAGCGGTTCTATTATAGAGTCGAGAGGGTGCTTTTTTGGTTATTTCATTCGTAGCCTTCAAAAAGTGAGCGAATGAGAAGAAGAGTCAAGGAGAAGAGGGGAGGTCGAGCGACATTGTGCGCTGTGCTTGCTGTAGAGGAAGAGGAAGGGGGAGCCCGTCCGTGCGTGAGGGAAGGGATGAAGGATTTACAATAAGTTTTGAGATTCACTCTCTCTCACACACACCATGTGTGTGTGTGTGTGTGTTGAGGAAGGGGGTGTGTTTTTATTTAATTAATGTTAATAGACATTTTAATTGAATCAGGATTGAAGCAATTTAAATCCCAGAACTTAGAGCGAAAAGAGATGACGCAAAATTCGAGGAAAGAGGAAGAACTGTGGGCGTAAAGTGGAGAGTCGAAGCTTGCAAAACCCTAATTTGCGAGTTAAGATAAGTTTTTGTGTTAGAGTTGCTTATTGTAATTTTATATACATTACATTGATATATATTAAATATGTTAATATGAAATATGTTAATTGAGGACTCGAAGGCAAGCAAGAAAACTTTGTTTGCGAGTAAGGGATAAGATTGATCTGAAAACCTATAATGTGTATGTGAAGGTCTATATTATTATTAGAATTAATATAATTAGTTAAATTGATGTTATTAAAAAAAATTATTAGGAAATGAGGAAAAAGGCTTTCAGATTTGAGATTGGTAAAAAAATTGATGATATAGTGTAGTAAATATATAATTATTGAAGAGTTATTTTAAGACTTAAAGTTTTATTTATAAATAACTATATTATTGGTTCTTATACCAGATTTCATAATATGAGGCATATTGTGAATGAATGAATTGCTAAAATTGAAAAGGGAAAATTATGATTTCAATGATCTTAAATGAAAGAGATTAAAAGAAATGTAAAGGTCTAATTCATATGGGATTACTCTCAGATGAGACTGACGGAGGATACAATGTTTCCGCATGATAAAAAAATTTCTAACAATGTGCCTCAGGTATAAATTTTTTAGGGTACCAACGAATATAATTTTGAAGATACATTCGAGTATGATGGTAATTCAATATGACTCTTAAAGAGATTAAAAGGATAAATGTTTAAATTCAAGCGGGAATGCATACATTTAAAATGAAAGTTTATAGTTTTATAAAATAATAATCTGCATTTTCTTTTGGTCATTCATACATAGCATTTGCATAAAAATTTAAAATACATTAAGATTATTATTGCTCACTAAGTCGTGAACTTACTGTTGACTTGTTCTTTTCAGGGAAAGAAAAACTATAGATTGATATCTCTAGCATAAAAAACTTAGTTTATAGAAGGAGAACTATAGCTGATAAGTATATCATGTTCTGATGTTATTATACTTTCTTTTTCCATTATTTTGTTTAGAGTAGTGATATACAGTTATATGTTGGTTTGGGATGTTGTCAACAGCTATGTTGTTACTTTTGGATATTTTGATTTTTGTATCGTATACTTGTGGTTTCTTAGTAGCTCTTTATAATTTTTTAATGAAGAACATTACTAATTCACCCCCAAATTTCCAATTCTAAATGTCAAAATATGCATTAATCATGATAATATATGCTGAATAAATTTCGTAAAGTACATCTCAAACAAAAGCCATAGATAACCAAAGCATACAAATGCAAATGTAATTATCAATAAGAAAAAGTTGAACCTTCTGTAAATTTAGTCCAGATGCAGACTGTGGCAACAGTTGGTTGGCTGCATCAGATAATTTGGAGTGTACCTGTGAGACATGTTTTAAACTAAACGCATAGAAATAGCCTTACGTAGTTTAGAGAGGCAACATGTCACCATTCTTACAGAAAACTGATCAAATAAAAAAAGAAAAGAAGGCATACATCGGTCCAGAGCTTAAGTGGTGCATTGGCTGTGATATCCAATGCCTTATCATGATGCATATGATCTGCTGGCAGAATCGAAAAATCAGTTATGACTTCAGGTACAGTAACTGGACAGTTCTGCATCATGTAACCTTCACTATAGCCAGCAATCTGAGTGTGAGATTTTTGCTCATTTTCTATTTCTCCAATAACCGCAACATCATTGCCAAAATATGTCTCCTGTTGAGAAACTCTATTTTGATGTTGCAGGCCATTAAAATAGGATACGGTGGCTTGAGATTTTTTGGGATCCATTTTATTAAAACAATGATTGTCAGAAAATTGAACAATCTTCGCAGCTGAAGACTGCAAATAAGAACAAGCTTAGAAAGGTTAGAGCATATCATAAGAATGCCAAAATACCCAATAACAACCAAATTCATGACAAAGAAAACACAAGAGAAACATAATTGATTGGGTTACAAATTCAGTAACCTCAAATGATTTGCTAAATGTTGTATTGGCACCCAAAACTTCTCCAGATGCTTCGTAAAGATCAACCATTGGTCTTTCAAAGACTTTCTTTGGCCGGTTGGCAGAATTTTCATTAATTTTTTTGCTGAAGTATGAGCCTCCAACTGAGAAGTTTTTCATTTCTATTCCAGTTTTTTCATGATGCACCAAAGTACCGAGACTCTCAGATATTTTCAGTTTTTCTCCATCGCTCACCTTTTCAACTGGATGACTTACAAGGGAAGTGGTAGGCTGCAAAATCTTGTGTTCATGCATGTCTCTTAAACGAGATATTTCATCAGCTTCTGAAGTGACAAAACCTTCCAAAGAAACAGCTGATTTGTCTTTATTTGCTAAAGCATCATTGCTTGATATGTCCTTATTGGATTCTTTCAGATCAGCTTCTCTTTGGCCTGATGAAAAAGCACATGGACCAATGGTATGCGGTAGCTTAGGAGAACTATGACAGAAAAATTCTACACATTTTTCCGATTTGCCTTTCTCAACACTCTCCGAAAAAGCTACATTTTTCTCAAGTTGTGTCAAATAACTACAATTCCTAGAACAATCCAGATCCTTTACAATGTGCAAACCTTCCAGTGGTTTAGCAGCCGTTACTTCGTTAGCATCTATATTCACATCAGAGTTCCCAGCATGTTTCAAATGTAGACCATCATTAATTTCATTCAGACTGCCCTGAAGATTAGTAATAAAAATATCCTTCATTAATGGAGCAGCTTCACAATCAGTTTGCATTTTTGACTTAAATCTCGATCTAGTTAAACTAGACTTAATAGCAGAAATTCTTTCTCCATGATCTCTGAGTTCCATTTTTAGAGAAGCGGAGAGGTCTCTAGAAGAACTATGCAGTGATTCACTTCGGGGTATAACAGAACGATATTGTAGCTGCCTTTGTTTGTCCTGGTAAGAGGATATAGATCCTTTTAAAGTAGAAAACTGGAATGCTTTAACAACATTATTAGGGGTCTCCATACTGATGTCCATACTTTCCAAGACAGCATTTTTATCCAGTATTGTCGGATTACAAATATTCCCAGAACAATTAAGATCCCTGATGATGCCCATACCTTCAGTATGTTTAGCACAATTTACTTCGGTAGCACCCAGATTCACAGACGAGCTGTCTGCATGTTTCATGTTACGATCATAACAATAAGCAATTGAAGCACTCTGCTGAAGAACAGTGGCAAAAGAACCTTACCTAATGGTATTGGGCCATACTCAGACTGCATCCTTGATTTAATATTTGATATAGTTGTTTGATTTTTATATGCAGACATTTTTTCACCATGTTCCATGAGTTCCCTTCTCAGAGAAGCAGATTGCCGTCTAATTGCATCATGCATCAATTCACCTAGAAAAAAAAAACAAAAAAATTTAGTGGCCCGTCCTTAAAGAAAAATGGAATGCTTTAACAGCATTATAAGGGGACTACATACAAAACATAAGTTTTTCTTTAGCACAAATGGAAAAAAATTTACTTGAAGGTTGAACGGTCCGACTAATAATGCGCTGCCGCTCCTGGCAGTGTGAAGAGGACATCATTTCTTGGAGGGCAGAAGAACAGAATGATTTAGTAGCATTCTCAGGTGTACAAACTATACTTACAGGCTTTAACTTTTCTTCGGCATCACCTGATATTGATTGAAAAGACGAACTGGAGTCAATGAATGAATCTTGATAGCTTTTGCCTTCCCTTCTTATACTACTAAAAAGATCTTCATGAACATGGCAAGCTTGCCCATTCAAATCATTCTGAAATTCTCCGTGTGAGGGAGAAAGCAGCTTAGAGTTCTGACCATTGTTGACGATAAGATTGGAATGAGCTAGATCATGGCCTTTTCCAGGAGAAAGCATTTCCTGAATGTAAAATAGCTCAAAAAAAGTAACTTAGTCAATCACTTGAAGGGTTGAGTTTGGAACAAAGATCGAAAATCGCTCAAAATCTGACCAATTTTTTGGATCAGAATGGCATTAAATCAAAGTCAATAAACCAGTCATTGATAGGATAGAGCTTGCATTGAGCCAAACCTTGATCGAATCTAACAAGCTCAAGATCAAACAAAATATATAGCCTAAGAATTTATCATGTGAGATCGAAAATAGATTGAGATTGCACTGGTTTTTGGCACAGATGGAAGTTAATGTTGACATGTTTGTCTCTAGAGCGTCAAACTTGATTCATGGGGCAGGTTTGAATCTGACCCGAAATTGAGCCCAAAATTATTTGACCTGAGCTTGACCCAAATAGTAAATTGGTTGAAAAGTTGAACCCGAATTCAACACGCTTTCAACCACTAACCCGAGCCAAACCAAAATCACTTGTTTGATATATGCATAACAATTATTTGAGTCAATTTCAAGTCAAGTTTGGATAAATTTCATGTTGAATTAAATGTGTTGGTGTTGGGATTTTGTACACAAATCTGACCCAAAACTTAAGCATGCCAACTTGAACCTAAATTTTTCGAGTCGAGTTGGTTTGTGGAGTCAATTTTTTACACCCATATCTGGCTCATACAAAGATCAGATCAAGGCAACCAGTGTTCAAGGCTTAATCAAATCAAGATCAGATTGAATAATTTCAAGCCAACCATAAACAAAGTTGAATCGCCTTGAGATTAAATTGTTAACAGTGTTAATCACTTGGAAAGCATACAAAATGGAAACAAAAGTTGATAATCAAGCTCAATTAACAACATAAAACAAACATGACAAAATACAAATAAGATGCATAGCAATCCAAATTTAAATGCTGGAACAAAATATAACATATCAGGAAAAAACATTATCTAGCCAAACATACAATGTAGTATGGTTGATTGAAGGATAAAAAAATTACAAGGTTGGTCACAAGCAACTGCGATATTTATTTAAAAGAAGAAAATTTAAGGAGATTAAAAGATTACGTAAGCTGAAGAATTTATTTTTCATTACCAAGAACCAAAGATAATCAACAGCTAAATAAAATCAAATTAGTCCTCATGAAAAAGATTTAAAAAGGTGCTCACTGCCTCATCATAAGGCGACTAATAAGCCCATCGAGGCTTAATTCCTTGAGGCTATATGCCTAAAATGCATAAAATTTAAAGCCTAAAATTAACATCCAATTGGAAAAAGGACTTCGGTACCCATGCTAATATTCTGGAACGCAAGAGCTCCTGCACCCTCAAAGCCCTATTTTTTGGAGTAAAAATAAGCTCAAGGGCCTCAACTCCACTACGATTTTGGTTGACCGCGAAATTGATGAACATCAGACCCAGGATTGCTCTCCGGCTGCTCAGTCATGATGCTGAGATGTCACTAAGAGTGAAGATTCATGAGCTCAACATCACGTTGGCTAGAATCAATGCTTGGTGGAAGCAGCGGGCCAAAGTCAAATGGCTTAATGATGGTGATTACAATATCAGTTTCTTCCACACTGTTACTTCATCCCAAGTTAGATCTAACCAGATCAAAGTTATTAAGCCTGAGGATGGTTCTCGTGCTGAGGATATGAAAACTATTAAATCCAGCTTCCTGAATTTCTTCCAGAACAAATAGAAGGCTAGCAGTATTCAGTTGGAGAATTGGCCTACTTTCGGTGAATTGAAATGCATCAGCCACCTCGAAGCTTGCATGCTTGAGGGTGACATCAAGGTGGAAGAAATCGTGGCACCTATTAAAAGCATGGGTTTCAATTGCACTCCGGGGAAGGACAGTTTAACGGCTTCAATTTATAAGCATTTCTGGGAGATTGTTGGAGGGGATGTCACTCGTGCCATTTATGATTTCTTTGAGGAAGGGATTATGCCGATTCAGTGGAAAGTAACACTTGTTACTCTTATACCAAAAAAGGATAACGCGGAAAATAACGATCATTACTCAAAAAAATTCAATATTAAAGAATTTCATTGTAATGTTTATGAACAATCAAAGTACAACAATATCATATCTTCAATAAGTAATACAATTCATTCTTCTCTCATTTAGTGACATCCGAGAATCACCCTTTTTGTTAATATCAATGAGGTTCAAGAGTTTCTTTTATTGATGATAATACCCATTTGTCATGACTGTTTTTCCTAAAAGCCTAAAGTAATATAAGTAGCATTTTTCGTACCTTTTTCAACATAATTAAAAATCAGTTAGGCGTTAAAATTAAAAGAGTCAAATCCAATATGCAAAAACTATTTAACTAATCTTTCTCCTCATACTTCCAATAAAAAAAAATAATACAAGACTTCTCTTGTGCATATTCACCCAATAAATTGACATGGCTGAACAAAAGAACCACCTAATTGCTACCACAAGGGGTATCCTTTTTCCAAAAAAAAAAAAAAAATAAAAACAATATTAAGGAGAAACAGTTTTAACAACTGCTCACACCATAAACCGATTAACTAAAAATGATCTTGAATAGAAGATTTTGACACAACTCCCTAACAAACTCTTTCTCCATTTCAACATCTTGAGCACTCTTGTTCTCGAATTATTTCAAACTATTGCCTTTGTTTATACACATTCACAATATAGAAAAGAAAAACTTAATTTTCAAATATTTAAATTTATTTTTAGTGGCTATTCTCCCCGACAAAAAAAAAAAAAAAAAAAAAAAGAATTTTCACGTCTTTTTTTTCCCCGGAAAAAACCGCCAAAAAAAAAAAAAAAAAAGAAAAGGATTATCACGTCGTTACTTACCCTGGAAAAGAATATGATTCACAAAAAAATTTTTTTCTCCTATATTGACATTCACTCTATTCCAAAATCAAACTCCCACCCATATCGAGCCTATACCAATATCTCTTCCTACTTAATTTACAAGTTTACCCAAGAAGAAAGGCATTTAAATTTAGGCAAATCCAATAAACCAAATCAATATTTGCACTAAATCCACCAACGATGAAAGTTTGAAAAACTTCCGCTAAACATCTCATACACATATTTTTGTCTTGCAAAAAATTTTCTCAAAACCACCAATCATTTCTTACTAGCTTACATACAATTTAAATCCCTAAAAACAATTGTTGAGTCGTAAAATAATATGAATTGGAATAAGATAATGAGAGAAGTAAATGAAAATTTTTAAGAAAATTAAGCACCAATAAAATTATCAAAAAAACGAAAATCAGAGCAAAAGGGATCTTTATTGTAAAATACAAATGAGATAATTCACTGGAAAGAAATAAAGCCATATTAGTGGCCAATAACTACATCCACACATGGGGGATTAAAAATTTCAGCAAAATAGTCTTAGAGTTCTCATATCTTTGGAAACTAATAGAGTTCGAAAAATTAAATATGAATAACTCTGCTTACATGATAACATAGAAGGGAAAGTATATATGCAGGTAACGTTGGGATTTAACTCAAATATAGAACAAAAATTAAGTATTGTATGGGTTGAAGAGTTCTCCAAGAGTTTTATTCAAAAGGTTTGTCAAGATACTGTTTAAAACAAAATACAAATAAAATTAAATAGACCATAACACATGGCTTCAAGAGAAGTCTCCTCAATAATGATTTATGTTGACTACATTATCATGATAAGTATTGACCTAGAGGGAATGGAGAACTAAATAAAAGGATGCTCCAAAAATTAAAGCAAAAAATTACATAATAGAGTTGTTGAAGAAATGGGTAAGTTAAAATGTAAACATGTCAAAAAAGTTCCATAGAATTTTGACAAAAACTGTAGATGGTAGAGATGACATAAGTTGAAAAAAAACCTCATAGCAAAGAGTGGCAAAAAAACTAATATGTTTATTACATATTATACGTGACACTATCTAAATTGTTTGCGTGATGAGTCAATTCAAGTACTGTCTTAAACTGGTGTTTGGCTACCTAGAAGATTTAGATTATGTAGAATTTAGTAAATCTGGTAAATTCTGATTTATCAAATCCAAATGTTGTAAATCTAGAATAGTGTTTGGTTCAATTTAAGGCTAAATCCATTATATTCATACATAAAAGATCAACCAGGTCGACCCACTTTAGTTCTGGCTCTGCCTCTAGTTCTCGGAAAGGAACCAGCTAACAGATTGGTGAGGTGTGTACCATTTGCCCGAAGTAACCAGAGTATCATCCATTAGATTTCTTAGCTCAAGTAGATCTTCATTCTTCTTTTTCCTCCTGGAAGTGTAGACCTGTCATTCCTCATCCGGAGGTTGTTGCTCATTCGGATGAGGTGGTAGTGCTGCAGTAGAAGATTGCCAACAGTTGTGCCCAAAAGTGTATGTGAGGAAAGAGTTGTCGTCTCTACCGCCGATACTTCCAAAAGAGCTGCAAGGTTCTCCTGATCCTCAGTCCTTGTAGGTAGGGGTCCTTCATTATTATTTTCAATAGGGTTTAAAATTGTAGGTTGCTCAGCAGGGCCATCCAGCTTCTCATCTCTAGCAGAAATAGTATTTTCAAGGGGAGGGTTCACAGGAGCAATAGAATCACACGATGTTGTTGCACATAAAATTCCACAATATTTGAAGAGAACGTCGAACAAAGAAAAAATAATTAAAAAAAGTGAGAATTTGGCTATCAAAGCATACACAAATGCATATGATATGGTTCTAAGGTTGACACAAGGTCAAATTCAAAATATTACACATTCTTAGAAGGCAACCTCGTGAATAGGATAAGTAAAGAATAAAACGCAAAAACAACAATGAATGTAAAAGCAAAAAACATTGCATTTCAAAGAATTGCTATGGAATAAAAATTTTTATAGAAGATTTAAAGGTTAAATAAAAAAATCCTATGAGGCTCAATTTAGATAACAAGTCAAAAATTAAAACTGCACATAATCCCAAGTAAATTGGAATGGACAGGCACTTCATAAAGAAAAAAGTTGCTAGTGGTTTAATTTATACTTTCATTAAAACCTG